AATTCAAAGATTTTGAATTAAATGAGTTGTAAGGTTCTTAATTAAATAGTGTAGAAGTGGTTCACAAGAAAACATTCAAAAGGCCTCAGCCGATCCCTATACGTAAGGCCAGCTTTCTGGAAGGTGGAAATAATTCAAAAGATTCAAATTAAATAGCATAGAAATGGTTTATAAGATTCTTAATTGAATAGCACAAAAGTGGTTTAGAAGATTCCTACTTAAATAGCATAGAAATGGTTTAGAAGATTCTTAATTGATGGCATAGAAACGGTTTATACGGTTTCGAATTAAATAGCATGAAAGTGGTTCGTAAGACTCCGAATTAAATGGCATAAAAATGGTTCGTAAGATCCCGAATTAAATAGCACAAAAAAGGTTCATAAGATTCCTAATTGCATGCGCAAAAAGGTCTTCTTTGCGAGTTTCTGCCTCTGGACTGCAGCGTAGTGTTGCGGCGGTCGAAGCTGCCGATGAGTCTTATCAACGATGGCAACGTGGGGGGCAAGAAGGAAGCGCTGGCGGCTGGGGGCGCTTTGCCGAAGTTGAGTGGGGAAGCTCTTCTGGCCATAGAGCCTTTCGAGGGCGTCTTCGGCAGCAAAAAAACCCGCAAGAGGCCCCGCCTGCAGGCTGCGGACTTGGCCACTTTGGCCCTGCAGGTGGGCAGTTGTCTTTGCCAGCTGAAGTGCTCTGGGCTGCAGCACTTCGAGCCTGCAAAGAACAGTCTGTGCGAAGGTCGGGCCCTTTGCATGCAGGCTGAAGAGAAAGAAGCTGCTTTTCAGAAGTCCGTTTCCGCTGGAGATGTGCCGGCAGATGATGCGGAAAGTGGAGGCCCCGTGGAGTTGATATTCCAAAAGGGAACGAGCCGCAGGATATGGGGAGTGCGCCAGCCCACTCAGCTTAGAGCACAGATCACAGCAGTCTGGCTGTTAAACTCTTATATTTGGCAAGTTTCAGTTTTTTCTGTCTTTAGAGGCATTTGGCGAACTCATTTTTTACCGCTGTTTGTTCACAGGAGTTGTACAAAGTCATTGACGCGTCGGACGTCCTAGTGCAAGTTGTAGACGCGCGTGACCCGATGGGAACGCGGTACGCTGTAGTGTAAAATGGCAAACTTCAACATAATAGCAATTATAATAATAAATAGTAATAATATCCGGTGATGCCCTTGTGAAGTACTTTTCTGAATGGCAAAGGTGCATCGCGAGGGTTTCTCGAGCGATCTTAGCGCGCCTCTGCAAATTTGATGTCCTTTTCTGTGAAGTTGAAGAACTGCACCTTTTGCATGTTTTGGTGACTTATATTACTCATGCACATTTCTGTTGTCTTTGCTTGTTTGGCTGCGCAGCTGCAGACGCCTTGAAAAGTATTTGAAGGCGCACCGTTCGTCGAAGCACTTGGTGTTGGTCATCAACAAGGCAAGCCACTTGCATGCATTTTCGAAACATGTGGTGTTTGCTTTATATCAAGCTTTGAGTGGCCATGGAATGCGGTTTTCGGTGCTGTGTATGCAGGTGGATTTGGTACCTCCCCGTGTTGCACGTTACTGGCTGCAGCAACTCAGCAAAGAAATGCCAACGCTGCTGTTACAAGCCGACAAGAACAAGAAAAATTTCGGAAGAAACCAACTCTTTCAGCTTTTAAGGTGGGGTTTCATGGAGATCTTGTGGAAGACTTTTCGGCGGCCTGAATCAGCAACTTTAGTAAAGTCACTTCACTTCTTTTTGCATGTTTCCGACGCAGGCAGTATGGCCAGTTGCTTTCGAATAGAAAGCACGTATCTATTGGGTTTTTCGGATACCCCAATGTAGGAAAGAGTTCTATTATCAATTTTTTGAAGAGTAAACAAGTATGCAAGGCGGCGCCAATACCGGGGCAGGTTAGTCATGTTTCTTGGGTTCCCCTACCCATCTCTTGCAATTTTTGTGTGCCTTTTGTGTCACTACCTGGACCCCAGTGAAAAATTGCATGATTCAGCATGAACTGAATGCGAAACCTAAACAAATTCTTGCTTGTGTTGCCAAAATGGCTGGCAATGGCTCGCATCATCACCAAATGCGCATTCGCGTATGTAGCTCACTCGCTGTAGGAGGGTTTCACGTATAGATGGAGTTGGCACATTATACCACTCCATCACTCTTGCATGCAAATTTTCCTGGTGTTCTCGCAGACCCGAGTGTGGCAATACGTCGCTCTCACCTCCAAGTTGTACCTCATTGACTGCCCAGGAATTGTTCCCATCAGCAGCGAAGCAGGAACCGACACCGACAAGGTGCGGCGTAGTCATTCTTTTGCCAGTTAGCTACAAGTAAATTCCGCGGCCCGCAGGGCTTAAATAAAAGTAATGCGTGGGGAACTGAATTAGATCTGCGGGCTTTTAAAAGAATTCGTTCAAGCTCCATCTGCTGTTTTTGCCTACCCGGACCATGGGTGAAGACACTCTCCGAGCTTTATTGCATTCTGCCAGGTTATGCGCGGCGTTGTTCGTCCTGAAAGAATCAATGCCCCTGAGGAGCACATTCAAACTGTTTTGGAGAAAGTCAAGAGGTACATTTCTCTTCAGATCTCTTGAAGAGAGGGCACTACATTGGCAACTCTGGTCCAGTAGCGCAAAGCATTCCCGGTGCTGACTTTGCGCGTCTTCAGGGAAGCTATACTAGCCCGCTATGGCTTAGATTCCAATATTTCTTGGGAAGATGCTGAAGAGTTTTTGTCGATCTTGGCCGTGCGACTTGGGAAACTCAAGAAGGGAGGGGAGCCGGACATCTCCACTGCCGCCCGCATCAGTAAGCGCAGCGCAGTTCGCATGCAGGGTGCTGCTGGTGCCTTTCTTTTCTTTTTGTTGATTGTGCTTCTCCGTTATGATTTTTTCTCGTGATGCAGTGCTGTACGACCTCCAGCGGGGCAAGCTGCCGTACTACGTGCTGCCTCCTTGCCTAGAGGCTGAAGCTGCGGAGGCAGCTGCAGAGGCCGATGGCACTCCGCTGGACGGAGCAGTGGCTGTGCCGGAAGGAAATGCACTAAAGCTAGATGGCAGCAACTCTGAGGATTTAGCGGACAAAGAGGAAATCAACGGCTGTGAAGAGGAAGACGGGACTCAGCGGCCAGACGACGACACTCAGCAAGGGGCTCCGGAAGTGTCTGATAGCGCTGCAGCAGTATCCACTTCTGAACCAAATAAACGAGCCAGAATCGATCGCTCTAGTAGTTCATAAGATTTGCGTCGTTTTCGTTGTGTTCATTTTCTGCACGCTTCACCGAATATTTTTTCGAAGTTTGGCGTGCAGTCAGTCGCATGCTGCGTCGAGCTGAATGCTGCAACAGTGACAACTTATCTGTTCAAAGCTGAGGCGAAGCTCTATAATTAACTGAGGCCTTTGGGGATTCATTTAGTTCTGAGGCCCCGCTCAGATCACTGCATGCGCTGCATTAGCACAGCGGGGAAACTCGTGCAACTCTGGGGTACCAGAATTCTCAAATTAGTAACAAGCGAAGTTCCTGCAGCGATTGCAGCGAAAGCGGGAAAACGTAGAAGGCACTTTTGGCAGACCCTCTGGTTTACGCAAGCCCCATTAAGGCTAGAATTGGAGGCACAGATGATCCACTTGGTACAGAGTTGCAGACAGCCTGCAAGATGCCACACGGGCACACACCGTGTAGAGTGCCAGAGGCCAAACGCCTTTAAAGCGCAGGTATTCCGGCAAAGACAAGGCGCTGCAACGCAATACTTCTTGGACCGACACAAAGGCGACCAGTTTGAAACAATTCGCAAAATACAAACAGCATATTGCTGCAAATTGCCGAAGACAGCCAATTCTCCGCCAGGGAGCTGGACTGCTGCACTTGTTGTGCACAAATACGCACAACAGTGCACTTTACATGAGCGCCTTCTGCATGCATTTCACTAAGACCCTGGGGCCCTCGGCAGTCAGGGCTCGAGAGCAAAAGAATCCGTTGAGGGCACAGGGTTTTGTGTTTCCTTGCTCGTCTCTGGCGATTTCCCGCGAATCCACCACAAACGAGCGAGCACTAAATACATGGAGAGCAAAAGACCAATCATTGGAAGCTGCACGACGTACAGCCCTTTCTGGCCAAGGCCAACTGTCAAGTGGAACAGCGGGCTGCACAGAAGAGATAACAGCCCCCCAACGAGCTGCACAATGCCGATGAGACGGCCGAAGAACTTTGCTGGAAAGTTCTCCTCCACGAACACGAAAACTTGGGAAACGAACAAAGACATGTACACCATGAAGCAGAGCACAGAAATAATGCCGGTGGCCACCGTCTGTTTCAAGCTGAATGCGTACGCCAGCACACCTGAAGTGTTAACTATTCCCATAACTGCCAAAATGCCAATACTTTCCGACAGCTTGCCCAAAATGATGCAAGGAATGAACGAGAACGGCAGAGCGCTGCCCAGAAACTCCAGTGCAGTCTGTTCCAGAATCCGGTCGTGGGCTTCTTGATAAAAGGAAGTGATCCATCCAACAGCAACGAAGTATATAACGATGAGAATGTAGCGCTCTGAAAACATGGTTTTCAGGAAACTGCGTTTCGAAAGCGTTCCCACAGCTTGCTGGGGGCTCTTCGGCTCAGCCGGCGCCACGGAAACTGCCTCCAAGCCAAGCTCTCCCGTTTCCTGCGTGGACAAGGGAGGCCCCGCCGGCTCGCCAGCCTCGCTGGACTCTGTGTTTTCTGGCAAGTCGCCCTCGAAGACTTTGAATGCCTTGAGCGGCATTACGAGGGCGTCCACCGCCAGGAACAGACAGGGGCCGAAGCCCACGTACCACCAGCACCCCGAAATGCCCCCGCCAGTCAAGTAGGAATTCAATATCAAGGGAATGGCGAAAGAGGCAGAAGACGCAGACCCAATCAGCGTGATCACCGTGGCCGCGGAGCCCGGAAACAGGCGAGTGACCAGCAAAGTGGGAAGGAAAGCTGTGTCTGCCCCCAGCCCCATGAAAATAAAACCCAAGTACACGCGCGCGTACGACTCCGCCGTCACTGTGGATATCAGGGCCCACGCGATTATGTGGAAGCACTGGCCGATCACGGAGGTGATCTTCGGGCCGAGTGTGTCCATCATGGTGCCCGCCAGCGCACTCATTGTGCAGTGAGTGGCCAGCGTTATGACGAATAAACTCTGCACGGAGGCATCTTGCTGGTCACATATGTAGTTGTTCCCGAACTCCCGCTGGTCCTCCACAAAGCCCCCCTTCCCGTCCGATTCGCACTTGAAACTGAACACTCCTGCCCGCAGGAGCATTGCGGAAAGCGGAGCCCACCCGAAGTAAACACATCCTGTCATAAAAGTCTGGAGTACATAGAGCAAGAGCAGCGCGTATCTGTTCAAGTTGAGGGGCGTGGGCTGTTTGGCTCCAGGGAGATCACCACGTGGCAGGAAGCCGCGCAGACTCTTTGGAGGACATGAAAGGCCCTGCTTACTCTCCTTTGCCATTCTGCAATCAAACGAGTTTGTATTTATAAGCTCCAGTAGCTCTGTGAGGTACTGGAACTGAACCGGGTGCACGCGATGGGCTGCGGTGAACAAGTGCGTCAACAAGGAGGCTCCCGATTACGCCGAAGCTAGTCAAAGTATTCGAAAGCATGAAGAAAATCGCAGAGTTGAAAACGCTGAAGACTTTTATTGGCAGACTCGGTATTACCGCGGATCCGCTCACCTCAGTCTACGCAGTCTGATGGACACACGTACTCGTGGGGCGGGCAGCAGGTATATGAACCTAACCTGCATAAAAACGTGCTGCCAAATGTTTCAGAAAGGACTATCCTGTCAAATTTCAGATTTATTAATTTGTTAGGAATTTCACGAAGGCAACAATAAGCAAAGCGGAGCAGCGTCGGCGCAAAGAAGCAGCCAGTTGAAACTCCTGGGTGTTCGAGTTCGGTGTCATTCACAGCGATAACAAACACTCCCCTAGACAGAAACGAAAAAGCTGTAGTTTTAATTTTATAAACTCTCTTAGAAATATACGCAATGACACTTGCGGCAGCCAGAGGAGCCATTCAACACGGACGCGTGCTAATTAGACTGGATCCGATACTTCGGACTTCCAAAAGAGACACGATCCAATAATAACGAAGCGCAAAAAATATGAAAATTTTCGAGAAAAGTGTACAATATGTATAAAGAATTCAATTCGGCATTTTTAATGTGGAAATGCGATTATGGCACGAACCCTAAAGCAACCTGCAGGATACAACTGGAAACGAAATAGCGTCACGTTTAAGACAGTGATTGCTGCCTAAGGTTTTAAATAATGAATAGACAGGTATGTAAATACCATTAAATGCAACGTAGACACAGTCTTAGAAGGGCGCACTTGCTGAGAAAATGGACGGGCTGCGGCCGCTTCTGCTGGAATGCATAGTATATATACAGCAGCTGTTTATGGCTTATCTTGGTAGTAACAGTGATGCGCAAAACTTTATGAAACTCGGCGTTGAGAAAGCTGGAAAATGCCACTCCAGCTTTACCCTTTGCAACTAGAAGCCGAGCTATCCGTGCATATAATGCAAATCAGTCGGGTATGCGACTGCCCAGCGAAACATAAGATCTTCTGATAATATAATACAAATTATCTGGCATAAATACAGTAGAAGGCCAGGAGCTTTACAAACTCCATGTTCAGCTTCTTCATAAATGCCAAGGTGGTCCCAGTAGGAGTGCCAGTGCGGGCATCGCCTCAGTGCAAATTCCAATGCAGTTTCAGTTTAGAAAGCCTTTGTTAGTGAAAGCTGTTTGTGAGTTGTGCGAATCCTTTCATTAAAAGCTACTGAGAAGTAGAACTCGCAGAAACCATTCATCAGTCTTCTCATCTTCTTGCTAATAACTGCAAAAGTTTCAGCATTTACTGCTTTCTTCTTGCAAATGCGTTTCGACTCCTTTCCATTTGCATCTGCACTGCAAGCAGCACCTCTCTGCTGTTTCCCATTTAATGCAAAACAAAGAAGAATGCAAATAGTGAATAAAGACAAAGATCGCAGAAGTATTTCTTTTCCTGCGGCGATATTCATTGCATGCGGAGTTGTGTGTGTGTTGGGGAAGCTTTGCGCGAGCTCGTGGCAGCAGCGTTGCTTTCTTTTTAGGCGGTTTTGTGCGAATTTTTGCAGGTTTTTCTCTTAGTGGATTTATTTGTTTTGAATTAACAAAGAACAAGAACACCTTTTGGCTGAAGTTCCGGCGTTTCAACGCGCGACTTCTGCACTGTCTCAAGCCCGTAGGCTCCGTGAGGCAGTGAAGCTCTACTGCGCTACAGTGTGTTTCAAAAAGGGGGTTGAAATGAGCCAAATAAGTTTCTTCTTTCAAAGTAAGGCCCTCAGACACATTTTCACGGGGCCCAGCTGGAGCTGAGCTCTTCAAAGAAACGCTGCACAAGTTGTCGCTGCGAGCTTCTGAGGTGACCCACACGAAAAGCATTTCCCCCGTGCCTTTGGGGGCAAGCAAAGAGGAAAAGATTCTAAATTGACTGAATAGTGCCTTGTAGCTGGCTTTGCGGCCAATTGCACTGCAGAAAAGGTCTTTGCCAGGCTGCAGAGTTAGCTTTCTGTTTGTCCCTACGTGTCTGTAGCTCGCGGCCAGTGAGGCCGGAGCTTTCCGTGCACTTAGACAACCCATAAAGGCTTCTTTAGGCACTACATTGCATTCTAGCCAGTCCTAAGTTTTGCTGTTTTAGCCGTAGCGGCCAAATTGCGTGCTGGCCAGTAGCCCAAGCGGCGCCGGAGGCGTCTTGGAATGCAGCGTAGAGGCCCCGTGCAGGTTATGGCGGGCGAGAGAGGCTCCGTGTGCACTAGAGAAAGGCGTTAAATATATATTTGTTTAGGAAATGCGAAAGGAGTGTCAATTAAGAATTACTTGTTTCGGAGGAAGTAGTAAGCTGCGGCAGCGCAGCGCCTGCAGCCCAGTGTGAACCGTTTGCGTGGCTACCTGTTTCGGCTGCGAACGACTAAATGCTCTGGAGCACTTTTGCAGAAGCCTTGCAGAAGACGAAGCAAGAAATGCTGCTGAATTAGGAAAAGTGTTTATCGGAGGAAAAAGCGGAATTGTAGTTGTTGGGATTGGCCGTCGTCAGCGAAGCAGCTGATGCGCATGAGGAGGACTCGGCGGCGGTTAGGCTGTTTGGGCGCAAACGTTGGGTTTCGTTAATCTTTCTTTCTCGAATCGGAAAAAGTGGTTTTTGTTTTTTGAACTGGGGAGCAATTGGCTGTGGAAAGTCTTTGAGCAGCGCAAGTCGCGGCGGAGGAACACAGCACAGCCCTTATAATCGCGTCGCAGCAGCCGGAGCCCTGCGGTGTACCGGCACCTTGGGACGGGAATTTGCGGGGAGTAGCCGCCTGCTGGAAATGGAAGAGGATGGGGTAGAAGTGGATATCGGAAGAGTAGCGGATTGCGAGGTAGAGAAGGGTTTAAGGGAGTAATAGCCCACAGAGCTGGTGATGCTCTAGACGGCGGAGCCTGCGGGTGCAACTGTTGCAAGTCCTGCTGCGCCGCCTTTCCCGCGCCTCTTGGCCATTTTTTTTGGATTTTGCGTTTCTTTTGCCTTTTTCTCTCTTGCGCGTCTGCGGATTCCCCGGGCCGCCGAGCTTCCCGGGCGGCGTGTCCGCCTCCGTGCCCATGGTGTTTTGAACGTCTGCGAATCTCGTGCGTGCCGCGTTTTCCGGCTTTTCCGGCGATTCGCAGCGACTTGAACAGAGTCCCTCGAGCCTTCTCGCCGGCGTTCTGTGCCAGTGCGTTTCCCGGGGCTCCGCGGCGGCCTCTCTCCTGGCCGCCTCGCCTCGCGTCGCCGCGCGGCTCTCCCGCTGCTGCTGCTGCTGCTGCTGCTGCTGCTGCTGCTGCTGCGGGCGAAGATGTTTTTCGGGGGCTCGTGGGTGCCGCGGGGGGAGGAGTTCGGAGGCGCTGCGCAGTGGCTGGGCTACGAGTCGCTGTTCGCCTCCGTGGACGTGCTGCACTGCGCGTTGCTGGGGATAGTGCTGCTGGGCTTTCTGCTGGCTTCTTTCACCGAAGACGCCTCCAGCGACTCTCTGCGGGTTTCCTGGATCGCGACTCAGCTGCTGCCGGGGCCCCGGGCCCCCCCAGCCCTCGGCGCGGGGCTCTCCGACGTGCAGCAAATGCTGAAGAAGCTGGCGGAACAGAAAGCTGCACAGAGACTCCGCAGGCTGCTGCAGCCCCTCGCCGAGGCCCTCGAAGAGGGAAGACTTTTAGAAGTGGCGGCGGAGGCGCTGCGGCGGCTGCGGGACTCTGCGGCTTTCTACGCCCGCGTGCTGTACGTACGCCGCTTCGCAGAAGGCACGCGCCACCTTTTTTACATGGCTCAGAAGATTAAATTGGGAATTGAAGTGCGGCCTGGAGAGTCCGAAGTGGTCACTTACGTGGAGGCCAAGAAGGCCCTCAAGGCAGACAACAGGTGGCCCTTCATGGTCGAGATCGCCAACGTCAAGGCCGACCGCGTCCTCTGCGCAGGCAACAAGGAGGCCTACCCCATGAGCTCCTACAGCTACCTCGACTTCATCCGCGAACCCCAAGTCTGCTGCTGCTCCTGCTCCTGCTCCTGCTGCTGCTGCTGCTGCTGCTGCTGCTGCTGCTGCTGCTGCTGCTCACCTGCTGCTGCTGCTGCTGCTGCTGCTCACCTGCTGCTGCTGCTGCTGCTGCTCACCTGCTGCTGCTGCTGCTGCTGTTCACCTGCAGCAGCAGCAGCATCATCAACAGCATCATCAACAGCAGCATCATCATGATCATCATCAGCAGCAGCAGCAGGGTTGTGTGTCTTGCATGTTTTCTTCTGAGTGCAGGTGCAGGAGGCAGCAATAGCAGCAGCGCGGGAGTGGTCCACTGGTTCTCACGGGGCGCGGATGCTGGGGGGCAACTCGACGATCCTGCGGGAGTTGGAGCGGCGGGTGGCGGCTTACTACGGGCGCGACGACGCGCTGCTGTGCGCCACTGGCTTTCTGGCCACTATGAGTGCTGTGGCTGCAGTGGCTAAGAAAGGAGACTTAATAATAGCTGACAGCCGCGCGCATGCGTCTCTGAGGACTGGCATGAGCATCTGTGGGGCGCGGCACTTGTTCTTCAAACACAACAACTACGGCCACTTGCTGCGGCTGCTGCAGCGCGAGCGGCCCAAGCACAAGAGCTGCTGGCTGGTGATCGAGAGCGTCTACTCCATGGAGGGGGACATCGCTGAGCTCCCGGTCTTGCGGACTCTGGCGAATAATCACAACTGCAAAATCCTCTGCGACGAGGCCCACGGGCTGGGGGTCTTGGGGGCCACGGGGCGGGGGCTGGAGGAGCACTTCAACATGCCTGGGGCTTGCGAGGTCTTGTGCGGAACTTTCTCCAAGTCCATTGGCGGAGTCGGGGGCTTTATTACTTGCAAGAGGCCCCTCATAGACTTCCTGGACTTCCACGCTCCCGGCTCTGTCTTCTCAGCGTCGCTCACGGCCTACTCCGCCGGCGGAGCGCTCAAGGCCTTCGAACTGATGACTGGAGAGCAGCAGTGGCGGATTTCAAAAGCCCAAGAAAACGCTAAGTACCTCCGGGCCCTCATAGAGAGCGGCGACGGCCGCTGGCCCGCGGACTACCCCCAGGAGCTCAAGTACGAAGTCGAGGGAATGGACTGCACCACTGTCATACCAGTGGTCTTCCCCAACAGCCCGCAGCGGATGTTCCGCATCACCACTGCGCTGCTGGACCGCGGCTTCTACTGCGCCGCCGCGGCCTTCCCGGCTTGTCCTTTATTGAGGCCTCGCATAAGAGTCACAGCCACTGCGGCTTACACGAAAGAACTCATGCACGAGTTCGTGAGGGCTCTCGTTGAAACCACTGTGCAAGTCCTTCCCGATGACCAACACGCCCGCAAGAGGCGGTGAACAGTGCATGCAAAGCGGGAGGGCTTGCATGCATGCATGCATGCACGGGAGTGCATGCATGCATGCATGCATGCATGCATGCATGCATGCAGGGGAGGGCTTGCATGCAGAGGAGGGTGCATGCATGCGGGGGAGGGCATGCAAGGAGGACTGGAGGAGGGCATGCAAGGAGGGGTGGAGGAGGGCATGCAAGGAGGGGTGCATGCGTCGGAGTGCATGCGTCGGAGTGCATGCGTCGGAGTGCATGCGTTGGAGTGCATGCGTCGGAGTGCATGCGTCGGAGTGCATGCGTTGGAGTGCATGCGGGGATGGATTGCATGCGTTTTGGCTGCAGGTGGAGCTGGGGCTTGCGCCAAGAGCCTTGAGAGGCACTTGGGAATCCACTTGGCTTCTTTGGTGGGGTTGGTTGTTATGCACAGGAAGCGGAATGCAGAGGCGAAGCCGGAGGCTCGAGGCCGGACTTTTTGCAAATTCCCTTTCCGGCCGGCCCGGAAGTTCAACTTGCTGCTGCTGCGGGCGGCTGCAGCAGCAGCAGCAGCAGCAGCAGCTGCTGCTGCAGCAGCAGCAGCTGCCAGCGCGGGGCCTCCGAAGGAATGCGCGGACCCCGTTTAATGTGTTGTTTCGTTTTAATTCCATGGGGCGCATGCATGCAACAAACTGCCGATTGCGCAGCTCCTCTTTTGTACAAAGTCCTTAACGCTTTAGCTGCGCTTTTTGTGCTGCTTTCCCCTAAGCATTTATGTGTCAGCAGCAGCAGCCGCGAAATGCCATTTTCTGCAGTTTAGCTTTTCTTTTCCTTCACTTTAGCCAATTGACAGTGAAGATCTCCTGTTTTTAGTTGTTTCTTTTCAACAACTTCTAGCGAATTCCCAGTGAAGGTCTTTTGTTTCTAGCTTCTCCTTTTGACAAGATCTGCGGCTTCTAGTTGTTCCTTTTATTCCACTTCTAGCTTCTGTATTCAGTTTTTGTTTTGCTTCACTTCACTTAGCACTTAGCCTCTAAGTTCAGTTATTTTTTAGCTTCTTGAAGTACAAATTGAGAGTGAAAATCTACTGCGTCAGTCATTTCTTTTATTTCACTTTATCTTCTATAAGTGCAGACTGAGAGTGAAGATCCACTGTCTTTAGTTATTTCTTTACTTCACTTTATTTTATAAGTGCAAACTGAGAGTTCAGATTTGCTGCTGAGTTGCAGTTGAGAGCTGCATGCGTCCAAGTGCCCAGCGGGCGCAGAAGGCGTTTGGGCAAAGACTTCACACCTAAACCCTTAACGAGGGTTTAGCTGTTCAGTCCTCAACACCTAAACCCTTAACGAGGGTTTAGCTGGCAAGTCCTCAACACCTAAACC